GAAAATGAATTGACAATTGTTGATATATGTATACGATAAAATATTCTTGTAGCAAATTATTATTCTCTATCTTCTATTGGTATTTCTGCAGAATAAATAATTTGTTTATAATTACGAGAAAAATCCAAGTAGGGATTTGCCGATTCTTATTTGATATTGTTTTAATATTGTCATTGTTTATGTAATACGAATTGTTCATTCTTTTATAATATTAAATTATAACATTTTGGAAAATTATGTAATTGCTAGCTAAATTCTAAAATTCTGGAGTGTTATATCGAAAATAATATCAAATAATAATTAACATTCAAAATGGCTACTTTTAACTTTAAATCACTTTGGAAATGCATTAATATTTATCGTTTCATTGATAAATTCTACTTCGAATCAACGAGACGCGGTAAAAAATTTTTCATACATTAATATGTATAAATATATATAAATATACACCATGTTTATAAACATGTATAATTATATATGAAATTTGTCCATACATATTCATATATCCCTCTTTCTTTTGTAAAATTACTTTTTAGTGTAATAGAAGTAACAATAGTAATGTGAAAACATAAAAAATAATTAAAGGGATAATTTTAGCATTGTTTGTTTAAAAAAAAAACAAGTTTGAAAAAATTAAGGAAATTGTTTATACACAAATATACATAATTTTATATATAATTATATATAACTATTTTTTATACATTTCTTTAAACTTGATTTTTTCTAAAATATAAATAGTGTAAAAATTATTCTTTTAATTATTTTTTAACGTTTTCACGTTACTATTGTTATTTTTATTACACTAAAAAATAATTTTATAAAAAAAAGAAAGATATATGTAGATGTATATATTTTATATAAAATTATGTATGTTTATGAATATTTATGTATGTTTATACATATTTATATATATTCATATATAAAAATTTTTTTTCCAAGGACATCTAATAGAGCGATTTTTAGTTTATCAACCGATGGTAATCTTTTAATGCAGAATGTTTGGTATTTAATGAGATTAATTAACACTGCAAGTTTGCTTTTTTGAGTACATTATTACCCAAGTAGCAAACTGATGTTTATTTATTAGCTTATTATTTGGGTAATAATTTAATAAATACGCAGAATTTTATAAATATTATTACCACCTGGTATCTCACAATCAGTTATAAAAATGAGTATAGATCATATAATGCACGAATCTTACGATTCCTCATCGCTAGTTATAATTCATAAGTCTCGGAATAAGATTTCCTTAAATTTCTTTACGAGCTACTAGAGAGGGGGGGGGGAAGGATAAGCGTATTTTTTTTAATCCTTTAGACGTCATCTAATTGTAAGATATCTGTAAGATATCGTACATATTAAACACATTAAACACTTGTATGTACGTTTGCTAGATGTTTACCGAATATGAGGCTATCTTAAAATACGTACGTTATAGTGATCGCGATGTTCCAAATTATCTGTACTACATCTACATCTAAATAAATTAAATGTACTAATGTTGTCCCTGGTTTTGTTTTTCCCCAATCTATCACCGTTTTCAGTTGTTGGATTGGCTATGAACGATCATTATACATAAAATAAAGCATCTCTGATATTTCAATCATATCATTCAGCTGTCTATCAGTTATTTCTCCATTAAAATTAAAATAACAGTTAGTAACCAAATGATATAGTTACATGTAATGACATAATCAATAATGATATAATTATTAATTACAATCGAAAAATACAAACAGTTACAATGGGAATGTTCTGACATTTCATCCAAATAAATCGGTTTTATAACTTCGGTTTCATCGAAATAAATCGGTTTGGCGGATAAATGTTTCTGGTAAGATTTCTCCAGAAAAAGACAATATTTCTTTTCTGAAATGTCAAATAAATACGCTTATTGTTCTAAAATCCAGAATTTTTCTCTCTTGAGAAAATACACCTAGAATATAATTAATAGGAAATAAAAGCCTTTTAACATCTGTAATTCATAAAATTCATCGTCGAAATCATCAAATAAGACTGAATATTATGAGTGAAATAACTTACGAGTCTGATTTTGATAGTATAAATCTTTAATTATGGATTTCTTTGTTTCTTTTAAATAACAAGAAAACAATAAATGTGTGTAATTCTGCAATTACTCATTCTAAAATTCCACTAACATACGGGTATTCCCACATATACATTTTTATTGAAGATGATAAACATGCGATATCTGCAACTTCGTAATCATGATTCAGCACTTCAGATAAAGTCGCTATATTATTTATAATTGATGAATCAGATATGTAATTACTTACAAATAAAGTGTAATTAATAATTAATTTTTATTGTTATATCTAAATCCTTGAAAGACTGATCGAAGAACTAATGAAGAAAAATGGAGAGGATATGGAAGGATGGTTAAACTCTGTCTTGTAGGTATACGTACAAAGGCAAACACCCGAGAATCGAACGCACTTTTTATAAGCCTGGAATATATCAACATCCTGAAAGGACGTTACGATACTTGTTTCCTATGGGCAGTGCGAGCATCGGTCCTACTTTTGGATCAAGGAACTTAATTCTTTTGACCTGGGGCTGGACTACGTGTAATCTCAGGTAATAAGGAACGAGATACGAGGTATCTTAAAATAAATAAACACTATTAAGCAAGGATATTCATTTTTAAATAAAATAATAAATTTATTCACAAAGTAAAAAAAAATAAACTAAAGGTTACAAATAAGTGACATGAGCTGTCGGTATCTATAATTAAGCTTGTAAGTGTGATGTAAATACATATACATATATATATA